TTCGGACGGCAATTTGACCTCATGGATCAACGAATCACCGATTTGGCAGAGGGTTTCGAGGACCGGATGGCTGGACACGCTGCTCACACAGAAGATCGAATGAACCATGGCCGAGGCGGACGGCACGGTGGAGCGCACGGAGGTCGCGGTCGGGGTGGACGTGGGGTGCCCCGCGGCCGCTCGCCTAATCCGTGGCATGGTGAGTGTGACGACGACGACACCCTTTCCGATTGCAACCCGTTCGGACAACACGCACACGAGGACGAGGGCCCACACGATGATCGGTGTTGGGAATCCTCCTCGCGTGTTGATATCCTGGAATTCTCAAGAGGCTTGGACGCTTCGGAGTTCTTGGATTGGTGGGCCGCGGTCGAGACCGCACTCGACTTTAAAGAAGTATCGGATGACCGACGAGTGGCCTGGGTGGCAACACGATTTCGAGGCCGGGCCGCCGCTTGGTGGCAGCAGTTAAAGACAGCCCGCCGCCGGCTTGGGAAGTCCAAGGTCACGACTTGGGCGAAGTTTCGTAAACACCTTGAAAGTGAGTTCCTCCCGTATAATCATGTTCGTATTATTTATCAACAATTCTAGAAGTTGCGTCAAGGTACTCGGTCGGTTAACGAATATATTGACGAATTTTATCGTCTCATGACGAGGGTCGAACTTCACGAGTCGACGGATCAACTCGTCTCTCGATATATTGGTGGTTTGCAGGTTCTCTTGCAGGATACGTTAAATTTGCTTGGGTCGGTTTCTCTTTCGGACGTCCACCAGCGGGCGGTGCTCGTTGAACAGCAGCTCGGCAGGAGAGTAGGGCCCTCTTTTCTTCCGGCCAATAGGTCGGGCCCCGGGTTCACTGCTACGAGTCCATTCTCGGGTCGATCGGGAGCAACGAGTGGACCACTTCAGATGGCTGGTTTGAGTGGGGCTGGAGGGCAGTCAAATCCGTCGACAGGGGGTCCTTCGGCGGCGGCAGGTGGTCCTCCGGCGGGCTCACAGACAGCCCCGGGCTTTCGCTGTTTTTCGTGTGGTAAGCTGGGACACCGTCAGTCTGCGTGTCCACAGATCATGGGTCTCGGGCTTTATTTTTCGGTGAGGGAAGTGACGATGATGGCGGAGGTGATTATACGGGCGAGGCGGTTTATGATGATGAGGGAACGATGGAGCAGAAACATTTCACAGGTGATGTCGGCCAAGCTCTAGTTATTCGGCGGACTTGTTTGACACCTCGTCATGCGGCGAACGAGACTATTCAGAGGTCTCATCTTTTGAAGTCCACTTGCACGATTGGCGGGAAGGTCATAGACTCGGGCTCTTGTGAGAATGTGATTGCGCAGGAGGCCGTCGATAAGTTGCACCTTTCTCCCGAGCCACATCCTCACCCTTACACTCTCACATGGATCCAACCTGGCAATGATATCACAGTCGACCGCCGTGTTTTGGTGGCCTTTTCTATAGGAGACACGTATCGGGACTCGATTTGGTGTGATGTTGTCCCGATGGATGCCTGTCATCTTCTTTTGGGTCGTCCGTGGCAATTTGACCGTGATGTTCTTCATGTTGGTCGACTCAATACCTACAGCTTCGCTTTTCAGGGAATGAAAATTGTTTTACATCCCAGTCCACCTCGCCCTCTATCCTCGCCTGCACCATCTCCGGTTTTCTTTCTTACGAAGGCCGCTTTTGAGCATGGATGAAGGCTGCACCCTTTGTTCTTCTGCTTTTGGGCTCGGATCCGTTCCTTGACCGAGAGCCTGCCGCTGCGGTTCAGCCTTTACTCGCTGAGTTTCCTGATGTGTTTCTGGATGCTCTCCCTGCCGGTCTGCCTCCTTTACGTGACATACAACACCAAATTGACTTGGTGCCTGGGGCACCTCTTCCTAACCGGCCCTATTACCGCATGAGTCCAGCAGAGCACGAAGAATTACGATGCCAGGTGGAGGATCTCTTACAGTGCGGGTGTGTTCGTCGAAGCTTGAGTCCGTGCGTTGTCCCAACTTTGCTTATCCCTAAGAAAGACAGTTCGTGGCGGATGTGTGTGGACAGCCGGCCTATTAACAAAATCACGGTACGTTATCGTTTTCCTATTCCTTGCCTAGATGATTTACTTGATCAGTTGTATGGTGCTGCGATCTTTACTAAATTGGATCTCCGGAGCGGTTATCACTAAATTCGCATACGCCCGGGAGACGAATGGAAGACCGCTTTCAAGATTCGCGAGGGTCTTTTTGAGTGGTTAGTGATGCCGTTCGGATTGTCGAACGCGCCGAGCACCTTCATGCGTGTTATGAATCAAGCCCTTCATGAGCTCATCGGCAAGTGTGTCGTCATTTATTTCGATGACATTCTTATTTACAGTCGTTCTATAGAGGAGCATTTGGTTCATGTTCGGGAGGTCCTACTTATCCTACGAGCTGAGTCATTCTTTGCAGCCCCAAATAAGTGCTTCTTTCTTGTTGATTCAGTTTTATTCCTTGGCTTCGTGGTTTCTTCGATGGGAATTCGAGTTGATGACAGCAAAATTGCGGCGATTCGAGATTGGCCTACTCCGACATCTTTTACTAAGGCTCGCAGCTTCCATGGGCTCGTTTCTTTTTACCGTCGGTTTATCACCCATTTTAGCATGATCACGGCCCCCATCATCGATTGCCTTATGGAAAGCCTTTGTGTGGACTGCTCAGGCCGATGAGGCTTTCGCTCTTATCAAACAGAAGCTCACATTGGCCCCTGTGTTGGTTTTGCCTGATTTTTCCCGACCATTTGAGCTTGCTTGTGATGCGTCTAAGGTTGGGATTGGCGTAGTTTTGAGACAGGAGGGTAGGCCAGTTGCCTATTTTAGTGAGAAGTTGTCGGGTCCTCGACTTCGGTACAACAGTTACGATGTCGAGTTCTACGCTGTGTTCCGTGCTGTGCAGTATTGGCGCCATTACGATGTCGAGTTCTGCTCGCCATGCTACTTGGTCTTCCTTTTTGCAGCAGTTTACTTTTGTGTTGAAGCATCGATTGGGTGCTTCCAACCGAGTGGTGGATGCCTTAAGTCGCCGTTCGCTCGTGCTGACTGATCTGCGTGTTGGGGTAGTGGGGTTTGACTTATTGCGCGATCTCTATGTGACAGATTATTTTTTCGGGCCTATTATCTCACGCCTTGCTACCGGTCCATACGAGGACTAGATTCTTTCTGATGGGTTCCTTTTTCAAGGCGTCCGATTTTGTCTACCGGCTTGCAGTCTGTGCCTTCGCTTGATTACTGACCTTCACGGCGTGGGCCATGTCGGACGAGATTGGTCCATCGACCTTGTTCAAAGGTCATACTTTTGGCCGTCCTTGCGCCGTGACGTTTCGCGTTTTGTCAAGCGCTGCCGCATTTGTCAGGTTTCCAAGGGGTTGGCGTCTAATGCCAGACTCTATCGCCCGTTACCCATCCCTTCATAGCCTTGGAGTGCGATCAGCATAGACTTTGTTCTTGGTTTGCCCTGCACTCAACGGGGTCATGATTTGATTTTTGTCGTCGTCAACCGTTTCTCCAAGATGGTCCATTTTATCCCTTGCAAGCGGACCATGGATGTCGTACACGTCGCTAAGCTTTTCTTTCGTGAGGTATATCACTTGCATGGTCTTCCCTCGTCTATTGTTTCTGATCGCGATACGCGATTTCTTAACTTCTTTTGGAGGAGTCTGTGGCGCTTGGCAAATACGAGGTTGGATTTCAGCATTGGGTATCACCCGCAGACCGACGGCCAAACCGAGGTTGCCAATCGGTCGTTGGGCAATTTGCTGTGTTGTTTGGTTGGTGAAAATTTGCGTAGTTGGGATACGAGGTTGAGTCAGGCTGAGTTCGCCCATAACTCGGCTGTGAGTCGGGCTACTCGGTTTTTGCCGTTTGAGGTCGTGTATGCGGTCAGACCGCGGGGGCCCGCAGACCTATTGAGTTTGCCGACGACGGCGCAGGTGGACCGGCGGGCAGAGGACTTCATGGTCGATTTGCGCCACACGCATGCGACGACGAAGGCTAACCTCGAGGCGACAACGACCGCGTATAAGCGCATGGCGGATGGTCGTCGGCGGCATGTCGAGTTTGAGGAGGGGGACTTCGTCTGGGCTGTCTTGACTAAAGATGATTTGCCGTCCATGAGTACAACAAACTTACGGCCCGGAAGATCGGCCCAGTTGAGATCGTGGAGAAAATTAATCCTAATGCCTATCGCCTTCGTCTTCCTTCTCACATACGTACCTCAGATGTCTTCAATGTGAAACATTTGGTGCCCTTCCATGGTGACAACTCGGACGACGAAGAGATCGCACTGGATTCGAGGGCGAATCCTTCGAAACCCGGAGAGAATGATGGCAAAGAGCTTGCACTGGCCTTTTTGGAGAAACGAGACCGACGTCATCATTAATCGTTATCTTTTTATTCAGTTTCCTATTTTTATTTATTTAACATATCCTATTTATTTAGTTTCCTAAATTTTATTTAGTTGGTTTGGAAAGTATTATTTCTTTTCTTAGGAAATAAGATAAGTGTTTTGGTTGTTAGGAACTCTATTTATTTAGAGGTTTAGGGATGAAGAAGTGGGATTAATTGACGATAAATAAAAGTTTCTCTCTTCTTGAGTTATCTGTTCCTTCGTTTAATCTTTCGTTGCGTCAGTGATTGTGTTGGTGTAAAAAAGAAGTTGCACATTTAGGCGGTAATAACAAATGTGCACATAGTAAAGTCTTATTAGTATCTAGTTTAGTATCTAGTTGAAAATTGATGAATGTCTTAATAAGCAAATAAGTGTTGTTCATCTACAAGCAGATGTCATAGTAACAATATTTTGCGTCAACAATACAAGAAATAATAAACTAATTAATAATGTTCTTTAATTACTGAAAATTCAACAACAATTTGATATACATAAATTAGAAAATTGATAACTCCTGTAAGTAACACAAGGACATTTTTTTTCACAAAATTGAATTATTCGGTTAATCATTTATATGGTGTACTGTACGAGGAATTAATATGTTAAAAACTTTTCAGTTGGCCATGCTTAAGTAGAAACCAATTACACAGCATTAGTTGCAGACAGAGAATCAGTTCATAAGCAAATCTTTACATTACTATGAACCTGAAAAAGAGGCATAACCTATTTCACAGCCTGTTTATGTATCTTCTTTAGCAGTGGCTTAAGAACCTGGCAATACATCTTCTAATAACCACCGCTAATCACAAATCAATCTGAAGTAGTGATTTTAAATACGAATATCTAAATATGTACAGTCATAACCTTTGTAATTTGAGATCCACTCTTAAAAAGCAACAATGAGTATCGAGTAGGAAGAACCTCTGAACATTTGGCGACAGACCACATAATTGGAAGCCCGTACCTCCAGAAACGACACTACAAGTCAAAGTTTTAGCTATTTCAGTCCAAGAAGTAAGATCTGCAAAAGCAAAGCGTTACTTGCAATATTAATTTAGCCCTGAGATCCAAATTTCAACTCTCTGTTTGAAATTACATCTGAAGTAAAAGATGGCGACGGATGCCCACAAGTTCACTCCAAAGTTGCACATTCTACAGGTCTGACTAAACCCAAAAATCAAAGAGATGTAATAAGTATCTTAAGAAACAACCACGTCCACGTAAAGTTTGCAGGTTCAGAAAAGCAATGAAATATAAAAAATGAAAACGATTTTTATTTTTTTTCAAAAAAACAAAAAACCTGTAAAATGACCAAAAGTTTTCGCATCAGCTCCACAGGAATTTTCCTGCTAAAATTTCACAACTTTCTCTATGACTACTACACCACTCATCTCATCATCAAGACTGAAAAAAAAAATAAAAAATCCCATATGTTCTTTCAAGCCAACCATCAAAACTTAAAACGATAACGCACTCACGCAAAACTCACGATTCATAGGCACACAAAACAGAAAAGTAAAAGTACTCATATAAGGGTAAAAGAACTTTCTACCTATATATATATACACACACATGACGTACTCTTTATCATCGAGGCACCGAGAAGATCAAGCACCCGTTCTCCCACCTCACCCTAATCTCCATCCCCACATGCAACCTCTTCTCCCTAATTATCTTCCCCCATTTTCCAACCAGATTGTAATAACTCCCGCGCCACCTCAGCTTCATCACGTACGAATCCCCCGTGTCGTAATCCCGCGCATTCACCCCCACCTGATGCTCGTGCCTCAGCTGCTCCCGAGCCTGGTGGGCCCAACACGACAAAATATGATCCTCCACCGCCTTCCCCGCCAACGTCAAAAACGGGTGGTTCGTGTCCACATCAGAAAGCGTAAGCGCTTTCTTAATGGGCCAGTTATTGGGCCCGGCCGCATTGTACCGCTCATCAGGAACCGAAAAGTATAAACAATTGTTGGCCCACCTTAGCCTGATTTCCTGGCCCACATTCAGCCCTCTCTGCCTTACAATATTCCCCCATTTCCCGATTAGATTGTAATAATTCCCTCTCCACTTGATTTTCATCCCGTGAACATCCCCAGTGTCGTAATCCCGTACATCCACCGAAACTTGCTCGTCTTTCCTCAGACGCTCCCTCTCTTGCGGGGCCCACTGGGCCAGAACATGCTCCTCGACTAGTTTACGGGGTAAAGGGAGGAAGGGGTGGTTCGGGTCGACATCGGATGACGTCAGCACTTTTCTGATCGGCCAGCTGTCGTGAACCACCAGACGAGGCTCGGGTAATCTCGCGGGCGGGATAGGGACAGAGATAATCTGCTGCTGAGGGACTGAAAAGTGTAAGCAGTTGTTAAACCAGCCGAGTTTGATTTCTTGGCCGACCTCGAGATTTTTTGTGCGGACGACTTTGCCCCACTTGCCGATGAGATTGTAGTAGCTCCCGCGCCATTTCAGCTTCATGGAGGAGATTTCGTTCGTGTCGTCATCTTGGGCGTTGAAGCTGACGTGGCCCTCGGCTCGAAGGTGGGCCTGCTGCTGAGGTGTCATGTGGACGACGATGTGGGTCTCAACTTGCTGTCGAGATAAGGTGAGGAAAGGGTGGGTGATGTCGACGTCGGAGTATGTGAGGGCTTTCTTGATGGGCCATTGGTCGTGGAGGAGTTGAGGCAAGGCATTGTAGTATGCTGCCATTCCCTTCATTAACTGAAGAGTGGGAAAAAAGGTGAAAACCGTTAGATTCGGGATTTTTTTTTAACTATAAAAGGAGAAACCTTTGATTTTGTGTCATGAAAAGAGCATCAATTGTCAAGAGAGTGTGATAGGATGTTCTTTTTAAAGTTCATTTTGATTGTGAAATAACAACTGGAAATTGTGGTTTGGTAATGGAGAATGTGGATGTTATAGCAAAAGGGTAGTGCTCGATATTTCAGACATGTCCGATTTTTAATGGCGACATCATCACTATAGATTTTTAGGTTTCTGTTATGTTCATCAGATGGTACAATTCCATCAATGGCAACAAGGACTACAGGAAATAGCTCTAATCACTTCAATCGCATAAAAAACCTTCCTAATTTCAGCACATAGGGATCTAATAGAAACTAAGAGTTGAAAAGACATCAATCTTCCCAAGTTAGCACAATAAAGCAAGAAAATCTAAAAAATTACGATACCACATGCCATCCACTTTAGATAATAGCTTGAAAGGCTAGGAATTACACCAAATAACAAGCAACGAATGTCAAACAAATCAGCACAAGGGAGTCGTATAACGATGAATCAAGACAAATTACATAGCATATATAACTCCATGATTAGACGTCAGCTTACCTAAAAAAAATAATAAAAATTGGACATTTCGCCCTTCAACTCAATCACAATTAAAACGTACCTCTTTTTGGACGGAGAGCTAAACCTCAGATCCTCTGGAGAAAAGGATAAAAGAAAATTATCAATCAACGAAAAACGATCAGGGAAAAAACAAGGAGAGGTGTGTAGCGTGAATTTAACGAATCGGAGAGGGTTTAAATGGACAATTGAAGATAGGGACACGTTCACGACGGTCCGAAGGGGTAACTAAGAAGAGAGAAAACAGACATTATAAGTAAAGACATGAAGGCGACGGCGGCGTCCGAGGTGGGCGAAGAGGTGTGGAGAATGAATGAAGGGTGATATCTTGTGTGAACAAAGCTCGTGAAATGTGTGTGAGAGAGAAATGGCGTGTTGGTTTGAGTGACAAATCGTGTTTTTTT